TGTATCTGGGTATAAGGGCAGCTAAGAGATTGTTCCATCTGGTTATATTCCAAGGGGGGGTTTCATCTTGAAGGAGGATTTGAATGCAATCAGTAGAATCTGTTTCAATGATCAAAGGATCCATATTACAGTAAGAAGCAATCCTGATGGCCCAGTAGATAGCTATGAATTCAGCCTCCAGAGCATCCTTTGCCACAGCAGGAGCAGTGAAATAAATGATAGGAGAACCATTAGAGTTCCTGCAGATTCCCCCAATACCAGCACACCCCTTTGAGAAGCTGCCATCAGTGTTAAATTTCAACCAACCAGTGAGGGGGGACTCCGAAAAATTAGTTTGAAAGCTTGAAGAGGGGGAGTGTTGTTTCCTGGAGTCCAGTGCTTTATAATATTAGGGAAGTGATGAACCTTGATCAATTTTTGAATGTAAGAGATACAATTCATAGTTACAGATTTGGGCCCTAACATCTTCTCATCAAATTTGCTTTGGTTTCTGTACATCCATATGAACCATGCCACAATACATGGTATCACCCAAAGGTTGTTGTTATGCCAATCATCCCAGCTAGAGGAGAATTTAATCCATCTTACATTCTGACTATTGATATTTAGGAGCTTGATTAAGCTAGACCAAATTTCTTGAGAGAGGGCACATGAGAAAAATAGGTGATCCAAGGTTTCTTCAGCAGCATAGCAAAGTGGGCAGATTGAAGGCCCTCTCTGCCCTTCCATCTTTAGAATATCATCAGCAGGCAGTAGGGAATGCCAGAGTCTCCAACAGAAGAAGGACATAGAGGGAGTTATGAATTTAAGCCAAAAAAATGACTTTACCCCAAGTCATCTGGTTCTAATTAAAGAAATGCTGGTAAATGTAGGCTGAGAATTTCTGGGAGAAAGCCTGTTTAGTGATTATTTTGTCTTTTGGAATGGAAGAGATAGGAGTCTCCTTAACCCACCTCACATGTTCACTAAATAGAATAGTGTTTAGCAGCCTGCAGTTCCATTGATTTTCAGACCAAAAATCCCTGACAAGACACTGGGTGTTGGGATTGGGGTAGAGGCATTCAAGTTTCTCTCCATTACTGACGCAGTTGTCTAACCAAAAGTTGATATGCCCATCTCCTAGCTCCCAAAGGAAGAGTTCCTCAGCTTTATTTCTGGTTTTCAACAGATTTGTCCATAGTTTGGAATCCCTTATCCTCCTTTATACCAAAGAGGGATGTAAAGATCTGCAATATTTCCCTTTTAGAAATCTGGCCCAAAGGCTATCCTGGGACCTGAATCTGATCCATAATTTGCAAAGATTTATGAAACCCAGGTGTTGGAAGTCTTTAAAGCCCAGCCCACCAGCTTGTAAAGGTTTGCATAATTTCTGCCAAGGGAGCCAGTGAAACTGCTTCCTTTGACCAGATCAGAGAAATTTGTTGAAAATCCTTCCAATGGAATTTTGAGTACCCATTTGCATGGAGAACATTTGAAGGACATAGGAAGGCATTGCAGTGAGAATAATCCTTAAAACAGTGATCCTTACACCATTAGAGAGGAAGGAGTTAGTCCAATAATCAAGTTGTGCTTTGATCTGATCAATGACATCTTGTAAATGTATTTGTCTAGTTCTGCCTTTGAGTAGATGTATTCCAAGATATTTAATAGGGAGGTTATAGCAGAAGCCAGTGTATTCAGAAATCCAATGCTTGAGCTGAGGTGTGGAGTTTTTATTGATAATAAATTGACATTTTTGTTTGTTGAGTGCCATACCTGAGGTATGCTGAAAGGGGAGAAGGCAATTGTAATCCTCCTAACAAAATTCTTGGCAGCATTGGAGAAAATAATAATGTCATCAGCATAAGCCAAATGGCTTATAAGGATACTAGATCTGTGATGGAAAGCCAAATGAGGTGAATTAGAAACAAACCAGCCTATTCACCAGCCTATTCAGTTGTCTTGAAAGATAGTCCAAAGCAAGCATAAAAATGGGTGGAGACAAGGGGTCTCCCTGTTTGATCCCCCTAGCAGCATTGAAGAAGCCATGACACTTGCCATTGATAAGAATTGAATGTGCATTACATTTAAGCCATCTGTGTATCAAATTAATAAATTATTTATTGAAGCTTCTCGCAGGAGTGTCAAGGATGAAATCCCAATTAAAGGTATCATAGGCTTTGCTTATATCCAATTTGAAAATGACATTTCCTCCTCTGCAATTACTGTCAAGATCTAGTAGGAGTTACTGTGCAAGAAGGATGTTGTCAGTAATATTCCTCCCTTTAATAAAAGCCACTTGGTTTTCACTAATGAGATGTTGAAGGTGGGGTTTGCTGATTATTTTGGAGATCACATTTGTTAGGCTGATTGGCCTGTAATCCCCCCAAGTTTTCCTATTTTGGTTCTTAGGTATCAGAGTGATGGTGGAGGCACTGAAATATTTAGGGCGGTCCACACCAAGAAAGAAGTTTTGGACAGCAAGTATAATATCTTGTTTAGTCTTATCCCATGAGGCTTTATAAAAGGTAGATGTGTAGCCATCAGGTCCAGCAGTTTTGAGGCCATCAATAGAATCTAAGGCTTGTTTAATCTCATCTTCCAAAGGGGTACTATTGAGATTTAAATTTTGAACATAATGCTGACAGCTAGAGAACATCTCAGTTTCAATAGGATTTCTGAAATCCAGATCATTGGTGAACAACTTATGGAAATGTTGGACTGCATCATCAGCTATTTCATCAGCATTGATTAACTTCCTGCCATTGAGGTTGTTGATGTTTAAAATCATTTTACACTTCCTTGTATGGTTGATAAAAGCATGATAGTATCTAGTGTTTCTGTCCCCATCAGTAAATTTAGTGACAGCAGCTTTCTGTTGTAAGAAACATTCATGGTATCTGATTTGTGCAAGCAGTCTCTCATTGGCATGATGAACTTCATATT